GCACCAGAAATCTTCTCAAAGTTCGCATCATCGACACACTGATGAATCAAGAACAATGCCTTACAATCTTTCTTCTTGGATTCTTTGAATATGGACTTTTGGGCATCAGTCGCTCCGTCTCCAACAACTTGATAGCCATCGTGCACAACTTCAGAGACCTCCTGGAAACCAAATATCGCATTCATTTGGATACGCCACCTATCATAGTTCTTGTCATTCAAAATCGGTAATGACATAGTGAACCCACCGTTGTTGGTCATGATTTTCCAATCAACACATACACTCTCTCTCTCTCTCTTTCTTTTCCTCTCACAGGTTCGGGATCAGGAACCTTGCTCTCGATACCACTGTTGTAGACAGCAAACACAAAAGAATAACACTTCTAATCACACACACAGAGTAATTGAGTGTCAGGGAATTGAGAGAGAAGAATGTATTCAAATATCTTATTACGGAAAAGTTTACATCATTATATATCCATTACATTGCAACTAACAATTGCCAAACCGTTTATAGCAGTAACAACAACAAACTAACAGTATAGGGACTAACGAACTGAATTACTATTACAACACGGAAACCAAGAGTAGACCAATAAACTTGGGCTTCACCCACCCTTCTAACAAATAGCACTATGCAAAAACAAAAAATTAAAGCATAGAGCAACCAAGACTTGTTACCACGAGATTACACTTAAGCATCCATACCAGCAGAATCTTTTCCAAATCTCTAATCCTAGCTGAGTGTATGGACTGGAGAGCGTCGATTGAAATGAGTGAAAAGTTGAATTATGTGTGGTGTCTCGCTACTATTATTTAATAGTAAGAGTCTTCTGTGGTTTGGTTTGCTTAATTTTTTTTTTTAAAGTAAGTCAGTGGAATCAAAGAAAAAAACTTGAGTATAATTTGATTTGAATCAAATATGAAATCTGAATTAAATCAAACTAATTTTTTTTTAATTCGGTTTGGTTTGATTTTTACAATTTTTATAATTTATTATTTAAAAATTAGTTAAATATATGTAATATTATATTAATTGTTTAAGACTGTACATCAAAAATAAAAAAAAAAATATATATAAATACTAAAATATTTTAATTATTTAATATATTTAACACTAATTTTTATCTTATTATTTCAGTAAAAATATTTTTTCAATATAATTTTAAGGCTAAAAACTTAATTTGGTCCTTTATTATAATTGTTTGTTTCAATTTAGTCTTACTTTAATTTTTTGTCTCAATTTGGTTCCTAATAAATTAAATTGTTGCAATGTCGACTCCCGTCCAAATTATTTAAACGGAATTAACTATTGGCTACGTGGATGTCACATAGATGCATAGGTGGATGCCAAATTTCTTTAAAGCATCTAGAACTAGAATGGGCCGTTCTGGTTTCAAAATGTCAAACACAAACGGTCGATAATTATCGTTCACGGTTATGAATCGTGCAAGGAAAAATACCCAAGATACAAAGCATTTCAAACACTGGATTTGATAATATTGTCAATGGGGATTGATAACTTCAATTGCTAAACATTTGGGCTATACAGTATATCATTAAAGACAATGTAGTGTATCACTAAGGACAATGGTAGCAAGTTTTATTTCATTGTTAATCAAATTGGAGTGAACCACTTACTACCAAATTGACACTATACAATCAAGGATGAAACAACATGGTGTTTCCCCTTTAAGTCATTGACCGATGTACCCCAACAATAATAACATGTTCTTGAGGAGGTACAACCTGAAATAAAGGAAGAGGATACAGAGGACACTTATCTCAATATCTTTTTATTCAAATGCTTTCTTTCCCTCTTTTTGAATCTAAATATTGTTTTAAAATTTTTTCACAAAATTTTTTAAATAACTATTTATTTTTTATTTTTAAATATTAATTAAACAAAAATATATTACTAAAATTATTTCAATTTCTTAAATTTTAATTAAATAATATAGCATAAACATATATCTATAAATTCTAAAGCATATATATAAAGGCGATAGTCTGACTTGCTGTACACATTTGTTTTGATGATTTTATCCTTAAATTTTTTAAATAATAAAAATATTATTAAAAATTAATTATTCTTATAAACATAAGACTCAAACTTGAAACCTTATGACCTAAGTATCAAGTTGTTTTAACAAAAATTGATAATTTTAAATATTTTTATTAAATAAAATATAGAGATACAAAGTGTATCAACTTCACTAGTATTAATAAGTATTATTGGTAATTGTCCATATATGAGTATAAATATTTTTCTATGTTTTATTGTATTTTTTTTATAATAACACCTTCTACTTTTTTGTAACAACTTATTTTATACTATTTTAAATTATTAACATATTATCATTGTTGTAATAATTTTTATTTTTTATTTAACTTATGGTATTAATTTAATATTAGTTTTTTATTTGAATTATATATATAATCACAACTAATTTCTTTTAAATAATTATCTTTAAAAGATTAAGATATTAATCAAAATAAAAAAAACTAAAATTGTTCAACTTCATATATGTTAAATAAAAAAAAAAAGAGGAGGGTTCAAACAACACCAATGTAATTTTTACTGAATATTACACTATTCAATAGTTTTATATTAAATGTGAATTTTATAAATTCAACCGTTGAATTAAAAGTTCTTTATTTTTAAATCATATATACAAAATTTTATATTAATCTAAGATGATTTGATACTTCATTCTTATAAAATAAAATTGACATAATATATACATTTCAAAATATAATAAACTATGAATATTTTGATTAGCTTCAAGTTGTTCAATTTTAACAAAATTTAATATAAACATATAAAGTGATATGAAATTACAATTCAATGACTAAATTTACAAAATTCACATTTAATATAAAGTTATTGAGTAATATAATACTTAGATATCATTTAAACAATGACAAATATTGGTAAGTTGGTGGTTTTCTTTTACCTATTAAATTGAATATTATAATCCATCTTCCACATCTAAGAGAAGCATCCTGAAAATACAATGGCACTCATTCCCCGCATATAATCCCTTTGGAACGCATACCATTTTGGCACTCAACAACGTGGAGGGGGCCTTCCAAATGCGACGGAAAGTTCCACCCCTATCATGATGGTGTTTTCAATTGGATGGTACAACAAAGATGCACAATGCTGGAGAATGGTTAGAACCAAAGCAATAAGAAAAGGGTACAATGGCAAAAGTGGTGGATGAGTATGACCTGATGATTGCTGTGACAGATCACATAAGAATAATACCGCATGGGTTGAGTCTTGAGTAAGAAAAGAAAAAAAGTCAATGTAAGATGAGAGCAACAACATAAAAAAAAAAAAAAATGATAGGAGAAGAGTGAGAAGAAATCAACTTAAAAAAAATGGAAAAAGAGAAAGAAATTATGATTATAGATTGCTAATATAGTCCAACTAAAATTATGATGAAAGTATGTTAGCAATCCTCATGAATATATATAAAGAGAGAGAGCTCATGAATATATATAAAGAGAGAGAGTGGGGGATTCTTTTACTTTAGAAGTAAGTTTACATAAATTTATTCTATTTAATAATTCATGTTCTATAACAAATTTTAATGATTCAACTATTGAATTTAAAGTTCTTAATGTGTAAATCAAGTTTGCAAATTTTAAAAAAAAATTGAAAATTATTCGATAATTCATTTAATTAAATTCAATGGTTAGTTTGTTTAAATTTGATGTAAAACATGAGCTATTAAATGAAATAAATACATTTCTACTATATATATATTATACGAGGAAGGATTTATTGACTTCAGGAGTAAGTTTATCTAAACTTATTTTGTTCAATAACTCTTATTTTACATCAAATCTCAATAATCCAACGGTTGAATTTAAAGTTCTTAATGCATAGATCAAATCTATAAGTTAAAAAAAAATTGAAAACCATTTGATACTTCTTTACATTAATTCAAATATATATATATATATGAGGGATCCGTTTACTCTAGAAGTAAGTCTATCTAAACTTACTTCGTTAAATAACTCATGTTCTACATCAAATCTCAACGACCCAATCGTTGAATTTAAAATTTTTAATGCATAGATCAAATCTATAATTTTTAAAAAAATTTAAAAATCATTTGATACTCCATTTCATTAATTCAAATAAATGTATAAAATGCTTTTATGATTACCCGTAATTGAAATTAATGAAATGAAGTATTAAATAGTTTTCATTTTTTTTTAAATTTGCAGAATTGATCTTTTTATTAATTTTTTTTATTTCAATGTTTGGCTCATTAAAATTAATGTAAAATATAAGTTATTGAGTGAAATAAATTTAGGTAGATTAATTCTCGAAGTAAGTGAATCCAAATATCGGTCATATATTAATCTTAATTAATTAAATATTTTTTATGATAATAGTTTAACTATTAAATGTAAGGATCATGACAGATTGTTAAAAAAAAACATATTTAAGTTAATAAAAAATTCTTATATATATATATAACATGTCAAATTAAATAATGTATTAATTAACAAATTAGACTATTGTAATATTAAAAAATTAATCATATTAAATGACAAATTAAATAACATGTCAATTAAAAAAGACGTGTCTATATATCATAAGAAAATAGTAAAAAAGATATAAAATGATATCTATAATATACATGGAAGGAATATCCGAGACTTTTAATCCAAACTTAAATTTTTTTTAATTGATAAGTCCTTTAAATTGTCATTTACAACTCTGTTGTTTTGATTCATATTTTCACTGTTATTTTATCCTAAAAATTAGAAGAAAAAAATAATGTGATATCATATGAGTATGTGTCGAGCTGATTACGTGTGTCATCTAAGTGATAAGTTAAATTACTTCTTTCAAAAGAAACAGCGTATCAACTAATTCCCCTTTTTTTTTTTTTTTTTTTTTTTTTACTAACTCTAACTCAAAGAACTACTTTGATAATGCTAAGTGAGGGATGAATGTAGTTTACTCGAGGAAAAAATATTGCGAATGAAATTCAGTATAATATGCCCTGCGAATGCCATTGGGCATTACACTTGGTATGTCACGCTTGAAACTGAGGTACCCTATTTCACTTTCAGGTCGTGTAGCCATATCCACCGCTGTCTCTCACCGTTTTCCATATCCTGAAACCGCAGCTCCCAAACCCAAACACCCACAGCACTTGCTCTCTCTTCTTCTCAAAGACCCTTCTCAACGCCAGCTTCTCCAACAAGTCCACTCTCACATTATCACTTCTGGCCTCTTTCATTACCCTTTTAACAACACCCCCACTTGTTTACTCCTCTTCAACAACGTGATCCGGTGTTACTCCCTTGGGCCTTACCCACACGAAGCTCTTCACTTCTTCAGATACACCCAACACTGCCACACTTTCTTCACGTACCCTTCCCTTGACACCTTCTCTTTTGCCTTCCTCTGCCACGCTTCTGCCCACTCAAACTGCACCCACTTTGGGATTCAGCTCCACGCCCTCGTTTTCAAGGTGGGTTTTCAGTTTCATGTCTACGTGCAAACTGGGTTGTTGCAAATGTACTTAAGTTCCGGTCTTTCAGTTGAAGCAGCACAGGTGTTCTACGAAACGTCGCACAGAAACTTGGTTACTTGGAATGTTTTTATTGCTGGTTTGATTAAATGGGGTGAGGTTGAACTTGCTTGCTCTGTGTTTAATCAGATGCCTGCTCGGAGTGTAGTGTCCTGGACTCTTGTTATTGATGGATACACACGTATGAATCAGCCTATGAAAGCTTTAACTTTGTTTAGGGAAATGATCGAAGTTGATGATATAGAACCTACTCAAGTTACTCTTTTGACTATTTTTCCTACTATTGCAAATATTGGGTGTATTAAGATATGTCAATCAGTTCATGGTTATGCAGAGAAGAGAGGCTTTAATGCCTTTGATATACGCATTACAAATGCATTAATTGATTTGTATGCAAAGTGTGGATGCATATCGAGTGTGAGTAAATTCTTCAAGGAGATACCTGATCAGAGGAAGAATTTGGTATCATGGACTTCAGCTATCTCTGCTTTTGCAATGAATGGGATGGGGAGGGAAGCTCTAGAGAGTTTTGAAAGCATGGAGAAGGCTGGGCTGAGGCCAAACCGTGTGACATTCCTTAGCGTTTTGAGTGCCTGTAGTCATGGAGGATTGGTTGAGGAGGGGCTCAATTTTTTTGTTAAAATGGTAAAGGATTGTCAACTTGTGCCAGATATCAAGCACTATAGTTGTGTGATAGATATGCTGGGCAGGGCCGGGAGGTTAGAAGAAGCTGAAAAGGTTGCTTTAAAGGTACCTCGTGAGGTTGCCAATGCTGTGATGTGGAGGACGCTGCTGGGTTCTTGTAGTGTTCATAATAATGTTGAAATCGGTCAGAGGGTGACCAGGAAAATACTGGAGATGGAGAGAGGACATGGTGGGGATTATGTTCTTATGTCCAATATTCTTGTTGGTGTTGGGAGATTTAAGGATGCGGAGAGGTTAAGGGAAATGATAGATAAGAGAATTGCTTTTAAACTTCCTGGCTACAGTTTAGTATAAATGATATATAAGTGATACATCTGAACTGAAACAGATAGATTGTTGTTCTGCCTTTCTTGCTTCGGAGGAGGTGGTATTGAACTCATGAGCATGGTAGAAGAGCTTTGTCCATAGATAGGTCCCCCACTTAACACTAGGCCAAAGGCCCTATTGGCATGTCATTGCCCTTTGCTTCAGACATTCTAAATTAGCTCAAGTTGTCGAATTGTCGTAAAATTTGCTGCAGTTTACTGCATACTTCTGCAAATATTTTGTCTAGATGCATATGAAATAATGAAAAGCTTAAAAAATTACTTGAAATTTTTATAGAGTAACTTTTTGCTCACCTTACCTAATGGGATATGACTTTGTTGTTGTTCTAAACAATTTAAATATTTTTTTGTCCCAAAGCATCAGGTTCAATGAAAGAAAATTCAAATTTCTGGAACTAGAAAGATGTCCTGTTTTGTGAAGTTCCGGTGTTCCACTGTCACTGATTCTTGTAGTTTCAATATGTATTACTCTAATTTTCTTTTCTCGTAATTTCTTCTTCCAATTCATTTCCATATTCCTTAGTAAACCTTAGATTAAATTCCTTTTTCTGGTTTGATTTTTTTTTTTTAAATGTTCACTCCTTTAAGTTTTAACTCAATATACAGTGAAAACATGGTAGAAAATTTTGCGACTTGGTCAATTTCCATTCGATTCTGGAAAATGATGAATGGTGGGTTCTAAAAGGATTCTTTCTACGAAGATTCATTAAATAATTGATAATTCACCTATGCCATCTCCTAATTTGCTGAATAGATTTGTTTATAATTTACTAATTAAGGTTTCATGTAGGTAGGAGATCTGTGCAAGTTAAGCAGTTAACATATTCAAACGGAGCAATTTGACAGTTATTTCCAGGAAAATTTATTATTCTTTGAGGATCCTCAATAGATGCAGTTTCACACATTGGTTCAAGACGACTCTTAAGCTGGAGGGAGAATGAGGTTAAAGAGAAAGAAATGAATTTATACATTCAGAATTTTCATCTTGAGGGGACATTTGCACAATTCTTAACCCCAAAAAAATGGCACAACAATCAACAATCAGGTAACATTTTCAGCATTCATTCTCCCTTGTCCGAATACCACAATCAAGCTGAAGACTCCGTCTAGTCAGCACGATGCGCACCCTTTTCCATAATAAGTTTTCTAATTAGTATTCATATTATCTGAAGCCTATCGTCTGTACAAGTACAACGAAGCTAAGTATGTATTTTATGGGCTCCATATAACTGTTTTCGGCTTCTTGTTTGCTTTGCTAGATAAGCCTTGGAAGAAATTTCGTTTTGGGATCTGAGATGGATCTAGTATAAGCTAAAGGCAACGTCAAAAATTTCTTTGTTCGTCCCACACAGGCTCGTTTAGTCAAATTGTTGTAATCGTTGTCTTCAATTGCATCCAGGATTTTACGATACAATATCAATGAGGACCAAACCTGTACATCATACACAAAGAAAAACATCAACCTCTACAAATGATCCACACCAATCTTTGCTATTTTCAGAAACTTTCTATTAAAAGTTCTCTTAACACTAACACATGGTATGCATGGCAATCTTAATTAATCATTTGATTCCATATCGGGGGTTAAATTATAATTAGAGCTATGGACAGTCTTGAGGAAATCTCATTACTTACTTTTGTTGTTCAAACTAACGAGGGAAGATCACGAGCCAATTCTAGTTTTTCTAATTTCTATGGCTATTAACATGAGATGACAGCTTCCCCTCAAAAAAACATGAGATGACAGCTGAGGATTATCAAATTTACTAAGCAGAATATTGGTTTTATGTTTTCAAGTCAGAAAACCAATATGTGGGTCTTGCAAATTTCAAAATATACGTACCGGCCAACGGCTGGCCTTTTCGAGCTGAGGAACTCCTTCTTCTGCCCGGTTGAAGTAGAATCTTGCCCTTGTAATTTGATGTTTCATAAACTTTCTCCATCTTTCACTGACCTTTCTTGAAAAAACATCCTTGTCACATAAACCAAACTGGGCTAGTTCATCTTGGGGAAGGTAGACTCTACCTCTTAATGCACTAAATAAAAGAGTAAGGTCGTATATTAGTCTTTGTATATAAACATAAGCAGAAGAGGAGTCAATACAGTGAAGAAAACCAATTAGAAGAAACTTACTCCTCGCCTACATCTCTAAGAATGTTTGTGAGTTGATTTCCTATACCAAGATATAGTGCTGAATCGTATACCCTTTGAACAGGGATGACAGACTCCTGGGCTATACCCATTATTGGAACACTCATTAAGCCAACAGTTCCTGCCACATAGTAGCAGTAAAGATATAACTCTTGGAAATTGTTGTATCGGGTCTTCCTTGTATCCATTCTCATGCCTTGTATCATGTCCCTGAAAGGCTGTAATCAAATACAAGAGTTGATTTGATAGATCATAGATCATAAACAATGACATACGACATACTATATATTACTAGCTAGTGTGAATGTGGTATCTGATTGTGAAGTACGACTATAGTTATGGTTACATAATTGTGGTAATGACCTTAATATCCAAGGGAAACTTGGAGACGGTATCAGTAAGAGCAGCATCAAGCATATCATACGGATGTCCATTAAAAATGTTGTGCAATCGATCTTCCCACCTATCAAGAACAGCAGAGCTCATATACTCAGCGTTAGGACCATCTACCAGCTCATCCGTCCTCCTGCACCAAACTGCAGACAAGTGTTTCAACAAATCAAAACTACCACATATTTGCAACTTGCTCTCTATCTTCCAGTGTAATTATTTATTTACCATAAATTGCCCATATAGCTTTCTGTCTTTCTTCCGTCATAAGCAAGGTTCCTGTTTAGAATTGGAGGAAGTCAGACAAAACAAAAGGCCATGCCATCCCTGTTGAAAGAATCTACAATTAAGAAAAGAGTGGATTTGATTTGTACCTAGATAGAAGGTCTTGGCATATTCCGCGCAGATATTTCTGCACATTTCATAGGCATCATTCAGAAAACTGGGATCGAACTGTGGCTTAGGCATGCTACAAGGACTAATTATCTGAGACTGCCTGTGAACAACCTCTTGTACATGTAAATCAGCAAGAGGAAGTCCTTGTTTTGACAACTGGCTTCTTTCTCTGGGTGCCATGGTTACTTCTGACCTTATAACATCAAAACCTCTACGGCTACAACATGGTTTCCTATTGCTCCCACTGATGGAACAAGGCTTTGCTGTCAGGAAAGAAAATGATAAACTCATCACACTAACCTAGCCTATTAGTTCACTAGCTGCTAAGTCAATGTGGAGGAGGCTATCTACTATATAATTATTTGCCAATGTATTAGCTATGGTTATATAATAAGTTGTAAACACCAACCATTAGATTTCAATGCCAATTAGGGGCAATGTAGGATATTCCTATGTAAGATTGATGCTTCAAATTGTATTTCATTTTTGACAGCTAACGAATTAAACCACGGAACTTCTATTAGTCACCTAGTTTATGCAATAAACAAATTTGTGGAATATTTGTTTATAACACAAGGTTGCGTCATATAGTTTGGTTTGAGCAAGAACGGGGTTTACAAAGATGCTGCTTTTGTCTTGTAAAAGGGCACCTAAATATTCTCTTGCCAATTCTGTCTTCTAGTTCAGTTACTTGCATAGAATCTTAGTCGCCCGTGATGCCTTCTCCAACTCACGCCCTTCCATAATCCCTTTCCTCGGCCTGTCAATTTTTTGTTGTTGGAACAATCCTGGCTTATTTGTTGCTGACCTTTCAAACCAGCCGTTTAGCTTGGCCTTACCCGTCAATCGCCCAAGTGGCATATTCGCACGTTATTGCCCACTTAAGTACGTACGTGTTTATATATATATATATATATAATGTTGATTATATATATATATATATATATATATATATGAGGAGGGATCTTTTTACTCTAAGAGTAAGTCTACTTAGACTTATTCCGTTTAATAACTCATGTTTTACATCAAATTTTAACGATCCAACCGTTCAATTTAAAGTTTTTAATGCATAAATCAAATTTGTAAATTTTTAGAAACTAATTGTTAGGTTACAAACTAATTGGGTTGCGAGTGTAGGGTTATGCCCTCTTAGTTTTATGTATTTAATGTAACCCTACTTCTAATGATGAATGATAGAAATACAATGACATACATATATTTTTATATTCAATGTTACAATTGCAAAAATTGGGGTCATTTTGTAAAAGAATGTAAAAGTGGTTAAGGAGGAAAAGGAAAATCTAATGTTGAATTTCAATCAAGTGTTGTTGATGGTAGCCACAAATTTGAAAGTGATAGCTATAAATCTTGGTATATTAACATAGGTTGTTAAAATCATATGATAATGCATAGAGATTAATTACTTGATTTTGATGCAAGTGTCAAGAATAGGTGTAGTTGGCAAATAACAATACCATTATAGTATTGGGAATGAGAAAAGTTGTGATCAAGAGGAAAGATGGAAAATCTACATATATGATTGATGTTTTGTATGTACCATCAACGAAGACCAATTTACTTAATTTGGAATAGTTATAAGAGCATGGCTTCTCAATGAGTTTGAAGGAAAATCATATATAGATATTTGATTCAAAGAAAATATTAATGTTAAAGACTTCTTTGTCCAAGAACAAAACCTTCAAAGTAAATTTAAATGTAGCAAAGGTATTATGTCTGTTAACCACAAATACCAAGGATGAAGGGTGGTTATGGCATTACAAATTTAGGCACTTGAATGTTAAAAGTCTAAATCAACTTGGAGCAAAGTAGATGGTGATTGGGATGCCTTCCATTAAACCACCAAAACAAGTTTGTAAAGGTTGTCTTGTAAGTAAGCAAATGAGGAAAACTTTCAAAGTCTTATATACCTTCTCATTCAAAACAGTCACTGGAAGTGGTTCATTTAGATGTATGTGGCCCGATTGAGACTTCATCATCGGGAGGTAACAAATACTTTATGACTTTTATGAATGAAGTCACTAAAAATGTGTGGCCATGAATTGAAAATTCTAAAAACTGATGGAGGTAGAGGATATAACTTTAAAGAGTTTCTAACTTTTGTCAAAAGAAGAGTATTGAACATGAGGTGGCTACTCCTTATACCCCTCAACATAATGGATTAGCTAAAAGAAGGAATAGAACTTTGTTTGATACGACAAAGTGTATGTTGAAAGAAAAAGGAATGCCTAATTGTTATTGGGGAGAGGCAACATATACTATAACATATGTTGATACGATCTGATCGAAGAAAGTTTTTGATCGTTTTTGGCAATTAGCTCATCAATATACACACGAGTGTAGGAACAAGTTAAACAATGGAAGAACAAGAATGCGGAATAAACAAGAAATGGATGAACACCACAATCACAATGAGTTGATGAAGATTCACCACAAAGGTGATTCCCTTTTATATGAACCAAGTTCTTTGATATGAACCAAGATAAATCTTCTCTTAAAATAAAGTTAAACTTTCATTTAGTTGACTCAAAAGTATCTTACATGTTTGAGCAAAGGCCTATATATACAAGAGTGTCTTAAGAAGTGTATTGGACACTCTAAAGCTTCCTAAAGATGCTTTAATAGCTTTTGGTGTGCAACATAATAAAAAAATGCAACTCAATTTGTAACAAATTCATTAGGCCAAGAAGATGTGGCTGAGAAAAATTTTCTCAAAATCAAAACAAGGTTCACATGCTCAAATTTCGTTGGGCTAAAAATATGTCGTTGTGCGAAATTTGCACTAAACCAAAACAAGGTTCAAAAATACAAATTTTTATTAGGCCATGAATGATGGAATAACACTAAGGCCGAGAAGACCAAGAAGTGGAGAACAGGAGAAATATATGAGAGAGAAGAACAAGTGAGACTTATATTTTTAAAAAATAAAATGTGAACAACAATGATACTCCTAAATGATTTTAACAGAATAAGTGGTGTTCTTATCGAAAATCTGTGGTAGAGATGATCCGCCAGGTAAGATCGGAGAGCCTCCTTCACTGGTACGCTGGTGCTCCAAGATGGGGGTGGTACCTGCAAAAGAGACTCCGATGCTAAAGTTAGGGTTTGTATGAGTATGAGTCTCATATAAATAATGCACGTACCTTTGTGTGAATTAGGGTTTCGTTGGGCCTTGGGCCTGAGATCAGTTATAACCTAATTAGACAGCGGACATCGCCTTGGCCGAGGTCGCCCAGCGCGTAACCGAGGTCATTCTGCGCTGTGATGCCAAGCTAGAGCTCGGCTTCGCGGTACGGATAGTACACTAGCCCCTCGACCTCTGAAGACCGTGGGTCGATGAGTTAATACCGAGCTTGGTAAAGGGTCGCGACTCTTGGCGTACGCTTCTCTCTCGTGATGCCATGTGTCATGGCCGAGTTGAGGAACTCAAAAATAATGAGTTTATTGCTTGGTCAGGCTGGTAAACCTTTGACCGAGTCAATAGATTGGTGAGGGACAAGTCGGCAACTCGGCTGAACTTCAATACGGCCGTATTGAGTTCAGTGCGGCCGTATTGTAGTTTAAAATGTTCAATACGGCCGTACTGAACTTCTGGGAGGCCGTATTGGGCTTCATTCCCTCCACTTTCTTATTTTTTGCTACTCTAAGACCTCTAAACCTACAGATTGTCGTCCTAGGGTCTTCCAGGGTCTTCCAGGAGTCCTTCCGGCTGACTTTCCTTCAGTCTTCAAGAGTCTTCAAGCTTTATTTCCGACCCGGACAATTTTAGGGGTCTACAACGCCATCACTAGATTTCACATCGTCAACCACTACACTTACAAGGTTAAGTTGTCAACAACTACTATACTTGTCATGGAATGCGTTCACCACGACTGTGCCTGGAGATGTCGTGCTATATTGTGCACTGAGGAACAACATTGGGAAATCATGATCCTTGAAGGCTCCCACACATGTGTTTCCCCACTCATCTCCCAAGATCATAATAAATTGGGATCACGATTGATTTCTCAAACCATTCGAGAAATAATTGAGGTGATCCATTCACACCCATCTCAACCATCATAGTCCACATCAAGTCAATGATGGGTTATACTATCAACTACAAAAAAGGATGGTTAGGGAAGCAACATGCCATTGAAAAATTCTTTGGCAACTAGGAGGATTCATACAAGTTACCAGGTATGTTGCAAGCAATGCAAATGTTTGTTTCGGGCTTTATCTAAAAATTAAATACGCAACCGACATGCCAAGACCGCTTATTAGACGAGGGGAGTGTTATATTCAAAAGGTTATTTTGGACCTTTAAACCATGCATTGATGGTTTTGCCTTCTGCAAACCAATTGTTCAAGTGGATGGAACATATTTATACGGTAAATACAAAGGTACGCTATTGGTTGCAGTTGCGCAAGACAGACGCAACAATATAATTCCTATTGTGTTTGCTGTTGTTGAAGGTAAAACTAGCGATGCATGATTTTTTTTCTAAAGAACTTAAGGCGGTATGTAACACCGCAAGACCGGTTGTGCCTCATTTCTGATTGTCACGAGACTATTCGAAGTGCATACTCTAGAAATGGAAGTGGTTGGACAGAAAACAATTCTGTCCGTGTTTATTGCATTAGACACATTGCACAAAACTTCATGCGATGATTCAAAAATGCAACACTAAAGAAAGATGTCTTCAACATGGGTAATTTTATCATTACTTTTTTTAAATGTTTGTTACTTAGTTTTTATTATTTAATTATTATTTTTTTCTCTAGCCTATGGGATGACTAAACCTAGATTCTTTTACTATTACAACATAGTAAGAGATAATAATGCTAAAGCAACACAATGGTTAGACAACATTCCTAGGGAAAAATGGACACTAGCATGCATGGGACAATGGACGACATTAGGATACATGACAACTAACCTAGCAGAGTCTATTAATTCGGTATTGAAGAAAACACAAAATCTGCCAATTTGTTCCATGGTAATGGAGACATACACTCGTTGCAACAAGTTCTTCGTTCAAAGAGGCAGAGATGTGGATGCAATGATTAAATTTGGAAATGTCTACCCTAAAAATGGAGTGGAGAATTGAAGACTTGGAGACTTCCTTTTTCTTTTTTTTTCTTCTACTTATTTCTTTCTTGTTAAATTT